AGCGGTCAGTTGCTTTTGCATTCCTACTTTCGTTTCTGATTTCGATTTTAACATCTCTCCGATTCAACTGATAGCAAAACGGAGCGAAGGATTCGTCGCCGAAGACACACCCACCTGTGATCAACATCGTGGTGCGAACCTGGATACGCCCTTGCAAGGTTACGTCAGAACACCAGGGAGGACCAAGTTGCATGACCAGCAATAGGCCAGCTTCAGTACCTTGCATGCTAGAAGCTCTCGTCTATGACGTCAGGTGTTGAGACGAGAGGCCAGAAAATCTCGGCTTACAGAGGACGTCATTGGAACTGGATCTGACGAACACACACACGACACGCCATGAGGACTGTTTCTTACTATGCACGTATAATGCCAAAGCACTCTCCACGGACGCCGATCTTCACGCCCTTCTTGTAGCAGCAGATCGAATTAAATTTCATGTGATCACATTACAAGAAACAAAAACCAAGAAGACCGGCATAAACCAAGTAAACAAACTCTGCAATCAAGTGACAGGAAAGTATATGAGAGGAAGTTAGGAGTCGCTTCCAATAAATAAGCTCCGTGTCTACTCTAGGAAGCCCCCACCCTTTTCAAAGACCAGCAAGCTATACGTGAGTATTAAAAGCGCTAAATATAATAAAAAAAACAAGCCTCATTCCCTGACCCTAAAAGAGCCCAATTTCGCAGCACTGGATAGGACGAGTGCGGAGAGGCTGCTAAAATCTCACTGCCAATAGAAGCTGCTTGGATTCCAAAGAACCATGGTGACAATCTGTACCTACAATGCACGTAAACTTGCATCCGAGTCTTCGATAAAAGACTTGCTTATGCAAGCGAGAAGCATAAGGTACGACCTCATCGGCCTGGCCGAGACGGGTAGATGCCAGGCTTTCAACGCCGTCTGTGACACCGAGGAAGAACTGTTTCTCGGAACATGCGACAGTTGAGGAGTCGGCATCGTCAGCGTTTTCGTCAACACGAGTTTGTCCATAAACATCGATTCATTCGAACAATTTACGACCCGGTTCGGACGTTCACAATAAAGAAGACTTGAATCAATTTCGGCCTTGACAATCTTCATCGTTTAAGCATCAAACTGTGACGAAGAAGAAGTCAAAGCGTTCTATATGGACTTGGAGAAGTTCTAGAGAGAAGGCCAAACATTCTTTGAGGTCATTATTGGGAACTTCAGCGTTAAGACTGGAAAATTAAAAACGGCTGAAGAACGTCACATTAGGACACACGAATAGGAATTGAACAAACAGGCTAAGCGGCTATCTGGATTTATCTTGGCGACCAAGACAATCCATGGTAACCCACCCAGATTCCAGAAGCCCCATCTTCAGCGCTGGACGTGGGAGTCTCCCAGTGGAGGGTACCATAACGAAATAGACAACATCATTGTAAATAGAAGGTTTTGCCTAACCGATTTTGCTGTTGTCCTAAAATTCTACACGGGATCAGACCATCGTCTCCTTCGTGCAACATTCTATTCCTCGCTTGAAGGAGAAAAAGCCGCTAAATTCCAAAACCGTAGTCGCAGACCACTGTAAACCGGGATTTATTCAATTCATTAGTCGGCTGTTGGAAATATGCCATTGTCGATAACATCGACGAGGAATGCGATGGGCTCATTCAACATCTTCACGTTAGCGCTAGCTCAAAGTTCGAAAGTCACCAAGAGACGTCTGCCTTCAAAAACACTCGAGCTAATACGTCAGCGTGGAATCGTAGGAGCTGCAGGCAACCGCAAACTAACGTCCGGACTTGCAAAACAATGCAGACATGTGATGAAAGAAGATCTTAGAGAGAAAAGAGCAGGAGCAACGGCCGAAGCTGCTGAGGCTGGGAAAAGCATACGCAGAGCCCACCGAAGCTTCGCCAATTACAAGACCAAAATGATTGCACTCCGACGCCCAGACGGAACAGTTGCAGCGTCCGAAAGAACAATGGAGAAAATCATCCACGAATACTACTCGGATCTCTTCGATAGCCACGTCCACCTTCCGTCGTATGAAATAAAGAAGGGTGGATATGCTGTGCCACCGGTTCTCCTCTCCGAAATCCAACATACCATTCCGTCGGTGAACAGTCGAACAGCACGAGGGTTGGACAGTATGAAACCAAAACGCCTGAGGAACCTTCCGCCAGTTCTCGTAAACGCACTGGCTTAGCTCTTTACCTTACCTGGCTGAATAGAAAGTCCCTACTCAGTGGGAGACCAGCAAAACCGTGTTATTGTTCAAAAATGGTAACCTACATGATATCGGCAACTATCGCCCAATCTGCTTACTGTCTGTCGTCTACAAACTTTTCACTCGACTCATCACAGGTTTGACAGAACACTAGACGAAGAACAGTTGTGTGAGCAAGCAGGGTTTCGAAGAGGATTTAGTACGTACACCACATCCACACGATAACACTGCTCATTGAAGTATCACGAGAGTACAAGTGATCGCTCTGCCCCAGTCACATCGATTTAGTGATGGTCTTTGACTCAATTGACATAAAAGCAGTCAGGAAAGCTCTTGATAGTCAAGGAGTTTTTAGTGAGTACATGAAGATTTTTGGCGAAGTGCACAAAAATTTCACAACTAAGGTATCACAGTTCTACAACGATATTAACATTGACGTTAAAAGAGGAGCTAGGTAAGGCGATACCATGTCGGCAAAATTATTTACCGCCACCCTCCAAAACGTCATGTGAACATTGGAATGGAAAAATATGAGAGTGAGAATCGATGGTCGGCAGACACACCATTTTCGCTTTGCTGAAGACATCGTCTTTATAACACCAAACATTAGCCAAACGGAACGTATGCTTGACGACTTTGATAAAGCCTGTGAAAAGATTGGTCTTCGACTAAACCTCACAAAAACGATTCATGAAANAGCAGGGTTTCGAAGAGGATTTAGTACGTAAACCACATCCACACGATAACACTGCTCATTGAAGTACAAGTGATCGCTCTGCCCCAGTCACATCGATTTAGTGATGGTCTTTGACTCAATTGACATAAAAGCAGTCAGGAAAGCTCTTGATAGTCAAGGAGTTTTTAGTGAGTACATGAAGATTTTTGGCGAAGTGCACAAAAATTTCACAACTAAGGTATCACAGTTCTACAACGATATTAACATTGACGTTAAAAGAGGAGCTAGGTAAGGCGATACCATGTCGGCAAAATTATTTACCGCCACCCTCCAAAACGTCATGTGAACATTGGAATGGAAAAATATGAGAGTGAGAATCGATGGTCGGCAGACACACCATTTTCGCTTTGCTGAAGACATCGTCTTTATAACACCAAACATTAGCCAAACGGAACGTATGCTTGACGACTTTGATAAAGCCTGTGAAAAGATTGGTCTTCGACTAAACCTCACAAAAACGATTCATGAAAACGGATTGTTTTCGCATGCCCCATTCACGCTCAACGGAACGAATATCTCCAAGTGCTTCAGCTATTTCTATCTAGGTCGGAACATCAATATGATGAACGACATAGCTCCAAAGCTAAACAGCAAGAAAGGAGCGCCTTAGGGAGCTTTCAAGTGCATCGACCATTTAGTGAGAACAAAAAAGAACACCCGACTCCGTGTTCACCCTTCCGACTCAACTGTGCTTTCTGCCCTAACGTATACGTCAGAAACCTGGTCGCTGCGTAAGCAGGATAGGAGCTCAGCGCTATCGAACGCGCGGTCGAAAGGGCGATGCTAGGAGTACCCGTTCCACGCAAGTAACGGATGGGTTCCGAAGCTCCGATCTTCGTCAACGATCAACAATCAAAGAAGCCGTTCTGTACGCCAAACAGTCGGAAATAAAGTGGGCCCGACACGTAATGCATATGAAGGACAACCGACAGACAAGAGCCGTTAGTGACTGGATTCCTCGGGATGTTAAACGCACTGTTGGAAGACCACCGACTCGATGGCCAGAGTTTTTTACGAAGAGCCAAGAAGAAAGATATGATGCTCAACGAGTCTCTAGAGCGAGCAGAACCGACTGAGCTATTCTTGCACGCGACAGGGAAAAATGGAAGATTTTCTGGCGTCCACTCGACTCACACGACCATCAACGAGACTACAGGCAATTCAAACTTGTTAAGATTATTAGATAGCAATCTCCTTGCAAACTGTGGAAATTTGTTGCTACGCGTGTTTTACTGTCGTATGTTTTTTGATAGCATTCCTCGGTGGTTTGAAACTGAGAAGCAGAATTAAGCACTAACCCATGATCATAGCTCCTATAGCTGGATTGACGAGCACATTATCGCACTGAAGCGGATCGTAATTGGCTTGCACAGTAAGCTGGGCCAAAATGGCAAATATCACATCAGGAAAGAGGCCAGCACGACGACCTTGTTCCTCCAGTACATCAGTTACCTAAAGAAGCCTCTTTGAAATTGAAGTGATCAGCATTAGCCATGCCATTAGACCCGAAGAAAGTGCTGCAACGGAAAGCCGACTTTTTTTTTTTACAAAACTCACTGCCTGCATCAGCAGACGTTGCACGAACGATCGAACTGCCGCACCGCTTCTTAAAATTCCTGGGAGCTGAGACGCGACATTATCTCGAGATGTCCAAATCATGTTAACAGGCAGGTTAAATCCATTAATTGTAAAGCTAACGCTCCTTGCTGCAAAATAGAAAAAATTTTGTGTTTGGTTTCGATTGGGGTTTCTCAGTTCCTTAAATTTCCTGATAGTTCTGTTTACATACTAGAGTGATTACTGGTGTTTACATACATCGCTGTTGTGAATCTGCCTTTGAGTCTGCTGTTTGGGACATAAAAAGCGGTATTCTTTTCGGAAGTAGCTAGATATTTTCCTATTGTTTTTCTCACATTTATCCACTCATTTCGTTACTCAGAAAAGGGCTGCATTTATTACGTGAGACGAAGTAATAGTGAGAGAAAGTACACGAAAGAAAATCACTGAGCTCATTTTGTTTGGCAGTGGTTGTTGAACTTGTGAATTTTTGATGGCGAAGGCAATCCACGGTTTGCTTTAAGAATTGACGGATTAGAAGTTCTATTATATAACAGCAAGCACGAAGAGGTCGCACTAAATGCTACCGCCAGTACATGATTTATCAACACCTTCACTCAAAGAGGTTTTCTTGAGAAAACTAAACATTTCAAGCGTTTTTAGTTTTTTAGCACGACACATATAGTAGAGGCTAAAGACGATGTATCTTTCGCGGGCAATGGTAAATTGTAAAAAATGCCAAATTTTCCCTCATGACGGCATTTTTGAAGGTTGGTTCCTTAAAAACGGCATTTATTTCACTCGTTACCTTGACCAGGTGGTAACTGTCCACATCCCAACGCCGGAGAGACCATGAAAAGTAGACATATCAGAAACGCCAACTCCACTGGAGTTTTTGAGCTTGTCATATTTTAGCTAAACTCCTAAAATGTTGGTTTAGAAGAAGAAAGCTGAAAAGAGTTTCATTGTTTGGAGCAGTTAGGAAAGAGTGAAAGAACTGCGTGTCACTGCCACTCGACATTCGCTTACGGGGTATTAAATATCGTTTCTAATGATGCTGAAGTAAAAATCGAAACGAAGCCATAAAATCGTAAGGAAGACTGGTGAAAACAACACTGCTTTCCCGACACGATCAAAGCGACTGAATGTCAATGCTTTCTTGCTTACTGTAAAGAAGGCGGAAACTAATCACACACTGCAAATTATGCCTGACTATCGTTTGAACATATGAAAGTTGGTGTTGCTGGAATTGAGGTTTTGCAGTATTCGCTGATGACAAGGCCAGAACAAATCGGACAACCTTGTTCAGGGAGCTTTGCGGATTCGCGTCTAAATTTTTTTCACAACTGTTTCGAAGGTCCAAGATGTGGACGATTTTGAGTGCGACAAAAGTTTAATTTGCATCCGGAAACAAAGTGGGAAACCTGTGCATGATCGTATCTAAGCGTTTTGGGCTAAAGGAGTCATAGCCAACCACATTAAGAATGTCTTCAATAGAAGTATTTCCCTTCACGCTGCCTCTTGGCAAAGGATTTCCACACCACCTGAAAAGACAAAGTTTTGCATACTTATAGAGTTTTAATGCTTGCAGGAATGTGCTCTACAACGTTGAAAAATTTATTTATATTGGAGAAAACTTCCATGGTGCTCATCATAGTGGCACTACGGTAAAGCACAACTTCTTGCAACTAATAATGTGTGCGCGAGTAAATAAAGGAAGTTGTTTCAGCTCTCTATGACGGCGTAATTTTAAGAAGAATACAAAGTCCTTTTATAAATGCTGGACGTGGAGCATTATGGGTTACAGTACTCTTATTCGCTCCATTACACCGCAATATAGTCAGAGAATGTTTTAACAACTCGATAAGTCATTTGGTCTATTCGTCGTCATACGAGAAGAAACACATTTAGTAAAAACGGATTTGTTCTTTCAAAAAGAACGTCGGATAACGACTTTTAAAACAATAACTTTAAAATTCCGATTCAATCTCATTCTAGGCAGTGTCGGAATCACAGTCTTGGCTTCGCCTATATCCTTTCTTGTTGTTTATCACCTAGCAGAATAGAAACTTCGTTGACTCCTATCTAGCGCTTAATTTTGAGATTCACCAACTGACCTCTATGGTATCGGATAGTGTGACTTTAGTCATGAAGTGCACATGTGGCACAGTAGTTGAAGAAGCACTGCAATATACATGGGATCGATTCTGCAACCAGAACCCACAAAGCCTTCCATCTTTGCGGAGTCGGCAAATTGATGCCAGTCTTGCATGGGAGGATGGCAGCACCGGCTCGATATATCGGTAAGCCACTACGAATCATTTTAAAAGCCAGATATGCCTTCAATCATCTCCCACAATGTTTAATCAAGTCGAATGCATGGCCCATTTCCTGACGATTGAACAAAGCCGAGAGCCTTTACCTTTTTTAACCTTATAACGTGAATAGAGCTTATTTTTTCACCGCCAACGCTGCTTGAAGCTATAGCTTACCATCGTTCACTTATGGGTCATGTTGGGGGCTCCGTCATTGTTCCTTGAAAGCCTTGACCGGGCCGTTGCTCAAACCAACTGGCGCAGAGAACCCCGTAGAATACGTGATATGAGGTTGCAAAGTTGAGTTTATGGAGCGAATTTTGGGTTGAATGTTTTTGTGTTTTTTCCAATACTTTCGAGAACGCTAGAAAATATTCCAGCAAAGCTTTTTTCCTCATCGACAATATTTCCGTTGTTATTTCTACATTATGCAACCCACGAATGACCAATGTTATCTATTATCTTGTAGTTTCGATTATCCTAAATCCAGGTGATTTCAGTCCAGACTTTCGTCGTGGTCTCATTTTTTCCCATTATCTACTCCTCTCATGTGCTTGCCTTACACAGGTCCAGTAATTTTGCAAACAATGTCGTCATCCCATTTTACACACTTTCAATAAGCGTGTGTTCAACAGGCAGCCTATTTAATCTAACCAGAGAAATTCCGGATGTTGAAAGATTGGATAACCGCGAAAGTTAGATCTTTTTGAATTTATCGCTTCCCCGTCTTCATTACGTTTTCATGACGTCCATTGGTCGCATCCGCTTTTAGTGTGCGATTTACGGAAACATTTTTATAGTCGGCGATAAAGCGAAGGTGGCTATTATCCAGAAATTCTTTAGTGCTGCACAGTTAGATGGAATAATGAAGAAGAGAGAGAAAATACGAAACAATGCAGGATTTTTAAATGAACAGTAGAATCACCTCCAGAACCATGCCAAAGGTAAAGAAAAGGTTCGTTTCCTACGAGGCAGCAAGAAAGACAATTTTCCACTTTGATCATTTCCTTATTATTTCATTCCTTATCTGGAGAAAATTTTAGTGCTTACAGCTTAGCGTTTTTGCAGCGTGCTTACTTGTTATATCAGAAATGGTATACAGTCTTTTACTCCGGTTCTACATCACCTAACCTCGAAATGCGAAGCAGAACAGCTGCAGATGTCCTCCGGACACTTCAAGATTTCTCTACTTCGGAATTTGAAAATATTTCAAAAAATTTATTTATGTGATCTTACAAACTGATTTTCTTAAGCTGACGCGAGGTTGGTACAGATCTTCGTTGTCGTTGTCGTTGTCGTTGTTTTTGATGTTATTGAACGATGGCTGACGTTTCGGCTACTTCGCCTTCCTCAGAGCCAG